GACATTTTATTATGTTTATTTGTTTACATTCGATACGCCAGAGCAGTTATGAATGTACGAGATTCATGGAAAATTGCAGTTTATAAAAATTCGACCTTGTCTACTGAACGCTTTTTGTAGCCTAGCGGTAAGGCACGTCATTATATATATATATATATATATATATATATATATATATATATATATATATGCGCCAGCTGATGTTTTCCATAAAACCTGTCTGCGTTCAATCTGTGCAGTTAGGCTTCAAGATAGGACATCTAACGTAGACCTGTTAATAGGTGTAATATTGGAAGAATCGAGACTTTTATCATACAGTCTCAGTTACGGTGGACTGGTCATGTCTACAGAATGTCTAATGACAGGATACCCAAGATCCTAATGTACAGCCAGTTAGATCAGGGCTACAGGAATGTAAGACGCCCATGGCTAAGATACTTGTCAGCAGTTAATATACCACCTAATACCCTTGAGCGCTTAGATTTGAGCGGGTAGAATAGAGATCAACGTTTCTTAGTGGACTCAGCAATTTTCAATCTGCTAGTCATATTCAAAAAGCGAGAGCAAGATCTAAAATGTCAAACAATCTAACAGTGATCTCATCTCACAATCCTCACACTTGCTCAATATGGGCCTCCTCTGTAAATCACTAGCTGGTCTGAAATGCCACTGAAGATTAGCGCATACACTTTAATAACTGAATCAATAAGCTGGCAGATTCTCATACGTCCGAAACCGACAGGAGAGTCCATTATATATATATATATATATATATATATATATATATATATATATATATATATATATATATATCGATGGTAACACCAACATTGCCCAAATAGTGTAAAAAACAACATTGTCAAATTGTTAGATTAATCACTGAAATTTTGTACCATCGAAATAGATATCTTACTGGAATTCTCAGATGGTTTTATAACAATATTGGACTCCACTGTGACCAATAAGAATGTATAATTACTCTGTAACAGAAGTAATGTGATGAAATCGATCATAAACGAAAATGACATTATAAGTGACTCCTCTGTTTCATTTTCCGTAAAATTTTCTTATTCCACATATATTCAGTCCATGGGATTCTCCGTATTCTTTGATAGAACCGTGTCACTCTAATCTCACCTCTCTTCATCTGGGAGGAGACTGTCCAAAAATTCGCCGCTATTTAGGAAGACTGACATTATATAAGAGTTATTCAGCCTTCATATTTCAAAATGTTCCTTCTGATTGTTAAAAATTTGCTTAGATTTTGGAAGGAATCTTTCGTTATTGCAATAGACCTTTATAAATAAAACAAGAATGGATTTGAGATTTCTCCTGATGTAATATCTATTCCCAATTTAAAAAAAAGGTACATATTCTTCATCTTCTTCATCTTCTTTTTCTTCCTCTTCTTCTTCTTCTCTTTTTTTTTCTTCTTCTTCTACTTCTTCTTCTTCTTCTTCTTCTTATTATTATTAGTAGTAGTAGTAGTAGTAGTAGTACTTGTAGTAGTAGTAACATGCCTGAATTTATTCGAAATGATATACATATTGTAATTACGACAATCCCAAATGTTGAGGAGTTCAAGCCACCAATCCAATTTTTTTCAATCGGTTATAGGAATTAGCAAGGAATTATAAACCAAACCGTATATTCAGTTAAATATATCATTATTGCATTTGCGTATAATTCATATAATAATGTCTTATCGGTTAGAACATTTATTTTGTCGAAGAATGAAAATATACACTAGTGACAGTTTAGCATTTTAAACGTAAATGTTCCTGTGGGTTATTGGATATCTGTATCTCCAATCAATATCTCAGCTCAGTACACGACTAACTAAAACGCACACACACATACGCAAACAAACACAAATGCACGTGCACACACACACAGAGACATTATATATATATATATATATACATATATATATATCAGATCCTATCGAGAACTACCCTGACTAGCTATGATAAAATATTATATATATATATATATATATATATATATATATATATATATATATTATGACCATGGAATATTATGTTTAAGCCATTTTATTATACATATATATATATATATATATATATATATATATATATATATATATATATATAAGATCCTATCGAGAACTACCCCTGACTAGCTCTGATTAAAAATTATGTGTATATATATATATATATATATATATATATATATATATGTGTGTGTGTGTGCGCGTGTGTGTGCGCGTGTGTGTGTGTGTGTGTGTGTGTGTGTGTGTGTGTGTGTGTGTGTGTGTGAAATATATATAAAATAGGAAAAGAACTGGTTGGGTAAATAATCCAATGTTCTTTAGTATTTTTGTTAATATTTTTTAAAAAATAGTACTCGATACAAAAGTGGAGCGATGTCCCGATGGTAACACCAACATTGCCCAAAATCGTCAAGTGCAAAATTGTCCAATTGTTAGATTAAGCTCTGAACCGTTGTACCTTCGAAATGATTAAAAATATCTTACTGGAATTCTCAGAGGGTTTTATAACAACATTGCACTCCACTTTGACCGATAAGAATGTATAATTACTCTGTAAGCTTAACAGAACTACTGTGATGAATTCGATCTTAAACGAAAATGACATGTCCATCATTAATTAATCATAACTAAAGATCGGAAGCTCATGAAGTATTGAAATGCGGTTTTATATATATATATATATATATATATATATATATATATATATATATGTGTGTGTGTGTGTGTGTGTGTGTGTGTGTGTGATATTCGAGGATAATTTTCCAACTTATTCAAGATGATCTTCGCCTTCTCTAACATAACTTTCTTTCCTGTAGTAGCAATATGCCTCACACGTTTCACGCACGATTTGATTTTCAATTATTTTTTCATTGGGCTGTCATGGCTGAAACTCCTTTCTCAAGTGCCCAAAATCTTATGAAATGAGTTTTATCTTTTCTAATTGATTACTTTAGCTCTAAGGGGAAATGATGATCCCTCTTCAAGTTGTGACCCCATGATCTAGTTTACCTCTGTACTGTTTTTAAACTTATTCGCCTTTCTCTTGATGGTCCTTGAATGGACATATTTCGAATGTTGCTACGATTACTGGAGTCCTGAATGATCTTTTTCTTCTCGCTATTGCTCAGTTAGGAAAAGAGTTGATATGACAAAAAAACAATTTTAATTTGCTGTATTTTTATCTAAATAACACAGGTTTTTTTTTTCTCAGTGATTCTTACGAAATTGCTAAACATCTAATCTAAAAACATGGGAAAAAAGAAACTTAAACAGTCGAGTGTTTCTTTTAGATATTAAACATTTTGTGGACGGATAATTATACTGGATAATTTTGCTGTTACAAACCGTATATTCACGTACATTTTAAAAGCATCTCCATCGAAATAGTCAACTTGCACAGGGATACACTGGTCTCAGCGTTCCTGCCACATTTGGAATTTGGCCGGAAAGTGGTTTTCCGTAGGCGAGTCAATGGCCTTCTGCGATTCGGAAACGGTGTTAAAACTGCGACCTTTCAATTGCATTTTCAGCATGGAGAAATAATGAAACTCCTCTGGGACTGAATCTGACGAATAAGGATGGTACGGAAGTGATACCATGTTGGAGTTATTTAGAAACAAACGATTGAGGAGAACTAAATATAAATATTTGCCTTAGAACTTATAACCCTGAATACTATATTGAAATATATCAAATGTAGACAGAAAAGTGAAAATGAACAAATACAGCCACAGTACCTTCCTTACTCTCTTTAATCACGCAAAACACAAAGCTTATAAATGATTTAAAAAAAAAAGTATTATTGACAAGAGACAAGAAATAAAAACAGTATGAGCAAAGTGTTTAATCATACATGTTTAAATGAAAATATGCTACGAAAATATCCGGAATATATATATTCCCATAAAGCACGTTTCGTTGAATAATATAAAAATATAAAGTCTATTCATGTTTTATAATAGTTTATTCTAGTTCTCTAATCAGCTTCGTGTTGCTAATTTGTAATTCCTTATGGAAGGCGCCGTAGTTTTTCCTAATCCAAGTACTTTCGATATCCTCCGTGATCATCATCAGGGGTAAATTACAAAGAGAAACTTGAAAAGACAAGCCTTGATTGTTGCGATTTTTGTAAACGCACGTGAACAGAAACTTATTTAAAAAAAAATTAAATTTATACGTTGTAGTTTGGTGTTTTACAATCAAGGGTCCAATACAGGGAAGATAACCAGTGATGATAGAAATAAAAAATGGCATTATATTTTAGCAAAATGCATTTTAATATGTTGCTGCTATACATGCCATGATTTCTGTTCAGTGTTGGTCAGTTGCTTTATGATGTAATGTAACCATCACCGGATCATATATATATATATATATATATATATATATATATATATATATATATATATATATATATATATGAAATATTAAATGGAGAATTATAACGTGAATATATATATATATATATATATATATATATGTGTATATATATATATATATATATATATATATATATATATATATATATATATATATATATATATATATAGATAGACATACAGACCGTTAGATAGATAGATATAAGTGATTTATGCCATGTAAGTTGCTACATAAAATGACATATCTTTCCAAGCGTAATGACACACACACCCAGATATATACTGAGACATTATATATATATATATATATATATATATATATATATATATATATATATATATATATTGAGACACTACACACACACACACACACATATATATATATATATATATATATATATATATATATATATATTGAGGATAGATAGATAGACATGAACGAACTGAGACATTATATATATATATATATATATATATATAGATAGATAGATAGATAGATAGATAGAACAGACAGACATGAACGAACTGAGACATTATATATATATATATATATATATATATATATATATATATATATATATATATATATATATATATCATATAGATAGCTAATTTGATAGATAGATAGATAGATAGATAGATAGATAGATAGATAGATAGATAGATAGATATAGATAGATATGAGCTTTCTTACATATATAACTATTTCGTACACATAATCGTAATAAAAATATTTATTTTTAGTTCTTTTGACAGAATGACATATATTAGAAATACTGAGTGTTTCGAACCAACGCACTGAATTCCTCTATTTACTCTACGACCTTACTTTTATATAAATCTAAAATAATATTGACACTGAAATAAAAAAAAAATCATATTGTATACTACGCTTGCTGCAAACCCTGTTTCCATTTTGCTTCTCATTTCCGATTCTGTTTTTTCATTATCTCCAATCATATCATGAATTTTTTCATTAACTTTTTGTGACTATTCATTTTTTTTTTTTATCGAGTCGAACATCTTGATATATCCTCAGCAGATGTAGATATGTTCATAATCATTGTGTAAAAATCTATCGGGAGTAAATAAATTTGAAAAGTGAAAAAAAAAAAAGAAAAGAAAACCACAACAAGTAAACAGACAGTTTTAACAGCAGGTAACAACTCATTGTCTCGTACAAGTCTCGTATTCACGAGAATATCACCGAGACTCCATTTTTTTTTCTCGTTTTTGTCCGTCATCTCTAACTCTCATTATTTTTTTCCCGATTTTGTCAAGTTTTTGTGTTCAAAAGATTCTTGACTTTGTTTTTGCCATTTCCTATTTTTCCTAATTTCTTTAGATTTTGCTTATCTTTAATTCTTTCATTGTATTCTTATTTTTCATGTACATTTTTCGATATATTTTTCTGCCTTCATCTTCTGCCTGCTTTTCGTGAATGTCGGTTTGCTTGTTTTTTTTTTCTTTCCCACGTACATATGAATATTTATGTTGCTGTCTCGTCATAAATGTCTACTTTTGTTTCTTTTTCTTTTTCTTTCTTATTCATTACGACTTTTCTTCTCCCTCTATTTGCATATCCTGCTTCAGATTGATGTATCGCTTCCTTTTTTATGTTTCGGGTCCCAGCATTCATTCTACTACCCTTCCTTTTTCCCGTTCTCCTTCGCTTCGTAAATTTTCCCAGCATCCCCTTGTTAACCATTTCCATCTCTTCCTATTTCCATTCTGTCAGTTAATCGTCATATATTTTTGTTTTGCTTGTATTGTTATCCCTTTACATTTATACTTTCCTTACTGCTTTTGATTCTTCATGAACGCCTTCTTCCTTGCATAATATTAACAGTATTAATTATTAGTAGTATTAGTCGTAATACTACAGCTGCTATTATTATTTTTATTATTTTAACTTCCTTATCTCATTGCGTTCTTTCTATTAATTGGTTCATTTCGGTACTTACATTTTACGTAAATATCTTTCCTTATTTTTTTAATTTCTTTTCTCTTAACTTTGCTCTGTCCGTTCTCCATATAGTCACTGCTCTCCTAAATTATTATTTCCCTCTCTTCCTTCTTCTGTCTCGAATTTTCTCTTTCAAATTTTAAATAAAAAAGCTTGTCTCGCACCACTTCAGACTACCGTCAACGTCTTAGCAGTGAGACAGTCTTCCATCAGGAAAATCACTTTAATAGTCTGTGCCGATAGCAAATGAAGAAAGAGATCAAGTGTATGTGCGAGTAGAAGGAGTGAGATAATGAAGGCTTTGATAGGCTGTGCCAATCCCAAATGCAGAAAATGATCCAGTGTTTCACTATGGGGGGAGAGAGGGAGAGAGAGAGAGAGAGGGAGAGAGAGAGAAAGAGAGAAGGGGAGAGAGAAATAAAAATTGATGAAGAAAAAGTTGATTATCTGGTAATAATAATAATAATAATAATAATAATAATAATAATAATATGATGATGATGATGATGATGCAGAGGAGGAAGATGTGAAGAAACTGAAGTTGAAGTAAGTTGTGGTGGTAGCAGTGAAGAAAAAGAAGATGATGATGATGATGATGATGAGGGGAAAATGAGGGAAATGAATAGGATGATGATGGATGAATGAGTATAAAAAGATAGTGAAGAAGACGACGAAGATGCTGCTGCTGCTGATGATGATGATGATGTAAAACGAATAATAATAATAATAATAATATGATGATGATGATGATGATGATGAGGGGGAAAATGAGGGAAATGAATAGGATGATGGATGAATGAGAAGGACAAGATAGTGAAGAAGACAACGAAGATGCTGCTGCTGATGATGATTATGATGGTGATGTAAAACGAATAATAATAATAAGATGATGATGATGATGATGGTAGTTTGGAGCGGGACGTGGGGTAGATGTGAAGAAACAGAAGTAGAAGAAGGTCGTTGTGAAGAAAAAGATGATGACAGGGAAGATGGTGGAAAAGAAGAAGAGGGCGATAACGCGATGAAAGAGAAAAATGTGTTATGATGTGAAAGAAGAAGAAGAAGATAGTGAAGAAGACGATGGTGTTGATGAAATAATAATAATAACAATAACAATAATATGACGATGATCATGATAGTTTTTGTTGCGGTTATGATGATGACAATGATGATGATGATAATGTAAAGAAGAAGAAGTCGAAGAAGAAGTGTAGAAGAATTCCAAGAAGAGAAAGAGGGGGGGAACAGACATCGATGAGAAGAACTTTTACAAAGAGAAAATGAATAAACATGGAAGAAGACAAAAATAAAACAATGACTTAATAGAGAAGCAGCACATACAACAATAATTTTATTCTAAGAATTTATAAATGTATATAAAGGTTTGTTGGAAATGAAAAGAAAGAATAGGAGAAAACCCTAAGAATCCAAACGAGAAGGAATGACAAAAAAAAAAAAGAAGCAAGAAGAAGGAAACGCCCATAGAAAGAGATAGAGAGAAAAATCTCGGCTTGCGTGAGTCAGAGAGGAAATAAAAACATTGTTGCGACAAGAGCCGTAGAAAACAACACCATTGTTGAGAATAATTGGTTTCTAGCGAAAGCCACGATATAATTTCCGCTATTTGTGCTCGGAGATTATTCGAAGAAAGAGAAAAACAAATCCACGACTTTACACTTCCAGTCGTACATTGTCACGATACAAAACCCTTCCTCCCTCCTTCAGACCACATCCAATTATCGCCAGCACATTCATTGCCACGCCATTCCATCTCCCTATCTCCTTACGTCTCTTCTTCGTCTTTTTCCTCAAACTCCTCCTCCTCCTCCTTCTCCTCTTCATTATTTTTTGTTACTTTCAATGCTTCATCTGGTTGCCACTTATTTGTAAGTGCAACGCTTTGCTTTAATTTAGAAACTGATTGTACATTTAGCCTACGTCGAAATCGTTGGCGTTTTAAAAGATATTCTTCTCGCAAGATTTGGCAGTTGTCAACATATCATTATCAATTTTCATTGTTATTTATTATTATTATTATTATTATTATTATTATTATTATTATTATTATTATTTCCTTTGAATTATGGTTAATACTCATTTCATTCCGGATCCCAACCAGAGATCTCAGGTCAGAAATAGGCATCAGATATTGTCCACCGAGCATTTTTTGATAGCAACAACAAAAAAAAAAAAAAAAAACAAAAAAAAACAAGAAGCTCATGCATATTTTACATAGATAAAACTGTCCGTAATGAGTGGGCTCTTGTTCTGAGTACGATTTTATCTATTTCTTAAAAACATAGGCTACCAGAAACCCTTTAATGAAAATCAAAAATCGTTGGCGTTTTAAAAGATACTCTTCTCACTAGACTTGGCAGTTGTCAACATATCATTATTATTTTTTATTGTTAGTTTTATTATTATTATTATTATTATTATATCATCATCATCATTCGATTTCTGCTATGGACACACTACCTACCAAGTCTGCGGAAAGACCTAAGAGGTCGTGGTGTGTTGTTATGGCCACATTTCATGTTAATTTTTTTTTTTTTTTTTTTATCTTCGATGAAGTTGCTAGTTACATAGACAAAGTTCTCCTTATGTGTGTTGTATTAATAAGACAATTTTCTGTATGTCTCTTAAGCTGGGGTTTCCAGGATTCTTTCAATGTGTTGTTTTGTTCCATTTTTTATAATTCCAAGTGCAACTATTAACCACTGGTATTATTCTTGTTTTCAATTTCCACATTTTTTCTATTTCAATTTCAGGTCTTTGTATTTTGATAGTTTTTCAAATTCCTTGGTTGCTATATGTTACAATCCGCTGGACAATTCCATCAATTAGTAGGCAAGTTTTTTCTTTCTGGTTTTTGACAATAATGTCGGCCTATTTGCTTCAATTTTTCTGTCTGTGTGGATGGTATAATCCCATAGAATGGTCATCTTCTATTTCTGTAACCGGCGCTGGCCGATGTTCATACCAGTGTTTGCTTACATTTTCCAAAGTGTTTGCACATTGTCCAGTGTAAATATTGCCCCACTCTATCGTGACGATTTTTATATTCATTTGGGGCAGTATAGAACATCCTGAGATTAGATGGTCTATTGTTTCTTGGTATTTGTCAAGAACTTTTTGGATCCACATTATTATATGATATTTGCCTGAAAATTCCTAGTGAAAAGACTCTGGTCTTGCGCTGCAAGAAAAAGCCTTCAGTTTCAGACTTTAATCCAGATGCTCGTAATCGATGAGTATTAACTTTATCAACATTGGGTTTATTTGCTTCTGGATATTGGCCATGCAGAGGTTTGTCTTTGCCAGCGTTGTTTCATCTGTTCAAGGGCTTTTTATCCTTGGCTTTCTTTTTCATATCTTTTGCTGCAATAGTTGGTTCTTTTGTTCTGTTTTGATTTACTAGAATCTACTAAATGTAAATGTTGTTTGTATTTACTGCCTTCTTTTATTATTGAATATTTTTTCTTTCTGTTTTCATGTTGTTTCACTAATTTTATCATCCAGTCATTTGTTGTTTCCATGTAAGTTAGTAAGTCAATAGTTGTTGTCTTGTGTGACAATTCTAGCTGAATAAGACCTCTTCCACCTTCTTTACGGGATGATTTGGTCTACATCAGCCTTTGGATGATGCATCTTATACTTAAAAAGCTTTCTTGTTTTAGAATCCATTTGTCTGATGTCATTTAGAGTCCAGTTCAAGATGTTGAAACTATATTGGACCACTGGGATGTAAAGGTTATTAATGGCCATAATTCTGTTCTGAGAATTCAATTCAGTTTTTAATACCAGTCGTACCTTCTATAGTACTCTTTACGCACTATTTCTTTTCATTTTCTTATGGTGAATTCCTTCACTCTCATTTACACCTAGGTACTTATAAGCTTCTCCTTGTTCTAAATCTTTTATTGTTACAGCAGGGTCTAAACTAATAGAGGAAGTTTGTTGTAGCGATCCTCGTAAAACTGTAGCTTTTAGCACATTTATCCAAATTGAATTTCATTCAATGTCTTCACTGAAGCATTTTACAGTTTGCAGAAGACCTTCCAGCTCATTGTCATTCCTAGCATACAATTTTAAGTCATCCATGTAAAATAGATGGTTTATTTTCTTTTGAGCTATTTTGTAACCGCATTCTGTCTTGTTAAGTTGGCTGGTTAATGCTATAAGTGATATGCAAAATAATAAAGGAGACAAAGAGTCACCTTGAAATATTCCTTTATTGATGTTTATTTCGCCAGACTTATAGGTTCCATTTTTATGATTGAGGTAAAGTGTAGTTTTCCATATCGACATACATTGTTTGATGAAATTGATGATAACGGGTGATACCTTGTACATACTTAAAGACTTTAAGATCCAGGAATGTGGTACACTATCGAATGCTTTACGATAATCTATCCAGGCAATACTAAGTTTTTTTTCCACGGAAGCAGTTTTCCAGGATCATCCTATTAATAAAATTGGTCTTTACATCCGTAGCAGCCCTTTGCACCCTTTTTGTTCAAGTGGTAGTATGTCATTTCTTTCAAGAAGAAATATGTCTGTTTTGTTAAAATAGATGTTAACAGTTTGTATGTTGTTGGAAGACATGTAATTGGTCTATAGTTTTCAGAATATTTGTGTCACTATTTTTGGGTAGAAGAAAGGTAACTCTTTGGTCATCCATGCAGGAATTTTAGTTGGATCGGTAACCATTTCTTGAAGTTCTTTGGCGAGTTTTTTGTGTGCTGTATTTAAATAATATAGCCAGAAGTTAGAATTTTATCTATTCCTGAGATTTCCAGTTGTGTGCTTTTTCAGTTTTGTTTTAACATCTTCTTCTGTGATTCCCGCCCATGTCTGTTCTGGTTTATTTTTCATTCGTTCTAACTCTTGCGCAATCCAATCTGCCTCTTCGTTGTGTTCTTTAGGGCAAGCCCATATTTTTCCCAGAACTGTATAACTTCTTCCATTTTAGGGGACTGTCACTTCAATTCTTTGTTTACCTATTCCCTGTAAAATTTCTTTGCATCGGTTTGAAAGATCTTGTTCTGTCTATAGAATCTTGATCTTTTCTCGTAGCGTCTTATTCTTTGAGCCTTCAGTTGTATTGTTTGCTTTATTTTTCTTTTAGTTGATAGGACTTCATTTTCATTCCTGATATTGTATTTTCTTTCGACTCTTCTGCCTTTTCTAGTTCTTACATTTACTCCTCTTGCTAGTTCATCGAGTACTGATAATTCACTTCTAAGGTGTTCAATTTCTTTTTTCTATTTTTCTTTTCAAGGTGGATCTTCATGTCTGTGAGACTGCCTTTTTTACTTTGATGTTCAGTTTATTTGTTGCTGCTATTGCTGATGCATATATTGCTTCATTGATTTATATGAGTGTCTTCTTCATCCAGAATCAATTTGAGTGCTATTATAGAGCTTAATAGTTTTTGAGGTTATGCTTTGTTGGTTGTAATTTTGGGAGTTGTTCTCGTTCCTCCATTGCAATATTCTGTATCTGACTTATATGGCTCATGATTTCATCCTTGGCTTCTTGTATATTAATCTTGTTTTCTGTGAAATAATTCTGTTCGATGAATTTTGAACTCGTTTTATTACCGTCTTGTGACTGACTAAGATCATACCTTTCCAACATTTCTAAATTTTCAGCATTATCTTCACAGTGATTTGTGTGTATTTCGGTTTTTCATTATGACCTGAGGCTTGTGTGATGTTACTACTTTTTTTCCTGATTCCGGTTCCTTTTCATGTTTTGTTGGTTCATCTATTCTTGTTGCAATTCTTTTTTATTTCATTAATTTCAGCCTCTGTCAATCAGTTATTTCATGATGTCCCTTCTTACATTGGCTAGTTTATTTTGTCTATGTACTTTCTAATTGTTTGCAAACCTTCTCTCGCCAAATGTCATATGTTTTGGCGAAGCGAGTGTTCTGAGGTTTGAGTAACGCTTCATGGAATGCAGTCCTGCTTTTGTACTCCTCACGAGACCATTTTATTTTTCTTTCCTAAATTTACGGTTATGGATCTAGCTGGAGAATTTACAGGACCATCATTAGGATTATCCTGGTTGTAGGGACCTGAAGATTCATTCTTTGTGTAGGAGTTTGTTCCTATGGCAGATTTTCGACCTCAGGTAGGTTCCCTCCTGAAGGACGGGCTCCCTGTTTATCCACTGGAAGAATCACTGACGTTTTGTTTCTATTTTTAATTTTCATATTAATCCCACGAGTGACGCACGTTGTCCAAAAGTCCACCAAAAGTTGCCCGGCACGTTGAGTAACGGTCTTTTTACAGACAGGGTTCCGAAGCCTGTAGGGATCGTTCGCGACCTCATAACGCAGTAGCCATTCACTCCTCACGATTAACACCTTGAGTTGCGGGTTGTTGTTCGGAGGTTTTCCTTCTCCTAAATGGGTTGCCAAGCAACAATAGACAGAGACACGATTGGAAATCAAAGAGAATGACGCTGGTTAAAAAAAAAAAAAAAAAAGTTTACATTCGTTTGTCTTTGCTGTGAAATTTAAAAATTTATTATTATTATTATTATTATTATTATTATTATTATTATTATTAATAATAATAATAATAATAATAATAATAATGAAAATAATAATATTTCCTTTGATTTATGGTTAATACTCATATCATTCCGAATCCCAACCAGAGACCTCAGGTCAGAAATGGCATCATGGTATTTTCCACCGTTCATTTTTTTTATGGCAACAACAACAACAACAAAAAACTCATGCATATTTTACATAGATAAAACAGTCCGTAATGTGTGGGCTGTGCTTATGAGTACCATTTTATGTATATCTTAAAATTATAGGCTACCGGAATCCCTTTCATGTGTCAGGGATTGACATATGAATCCCTGACTCATTAAAGGGATGCTGGTAGCCTACGTTTCCATTTCACTAAAGCAGATATACAGACCTTCTTTTTTTTCTATTTATATTATGTACTAATTTTTAAATTTCACTGAAGCAGACATTAAACGCATGAGAGCATTATCACCGCCTCCATCGTCTCCTTCTTTCATTCTTCCACCACTTCCTCCTAATGACGCTTCCAGTTAGATTATTATAGGTGTTGATTGAGAGAATGGCAACAAAAGAGAACACGTATAATTAAAAGAAAGTAGGGCTTGTGAAATATAAAACTCAGAGGACAGATTCCATGTTGGTTGGTTGATTTGGTTTAGCGCCATATTAGCAATTATCGGTCATTTCTTACCGAAATCTAAATAATTTAGACAAATTTATACTTTCAATTAATATATTTTGAACTCAATAATATTCTTTCAACTACAGATAAAATATATGGCTGTTAATTTGACATTGAAATTGTTTGTTCGTTTAGCGCCATATGAAATTCTGAGGGGTCATTTAATGCCGAAATTTACTTTTATTGGGAGCATTAATAATCTTTTCTTTTTTTTTAATATACTGTTGGTAGATTTTTTATCATGGAAACGTATTGCTGGTATTTTTACTATAAAAAGTATTTTTATAATTTCATAGTGTTTTGATCCTAGTTTAGGTATTAAATATTTGCCTATAGCTGTGTGCCTAACGGGTGTTACCACCCCGTGTCAAGATTAAACTGGGAACAACGACAATTAAGAGGTGGTTCAACGTTCCACAAAACCTCTAATCTCCCGATCAGAGACCTTGCTGTCGGATTTAGTTTATACTCATACCCAGGACTACAAATTGAAGTGAAGATTGACACAGGAAAACCAAGCGTAACACAGTGAGCTAGAGTGAATGGATGGCAAAACAGTGTTTTAAAGAAATAACAGAAAACAATATTTATTAAGAGCAACAAAGGGCAGGGAATTGTGGCGTTCTCATTCTCTTAGAGTGTTTGTCATTTAAGACTAGAGAGAACCGTCTACTCTGCATTATAAACCAGACCTGAGAGAAGAAGTAAACCTCCCTAAGAATATTTTTGAGAAAATGAACCCATTAAACTTGACCGGAATTTGAACTCGGTTAAAATTACATTGCCCTAGTATGCTGACATTATCTACGTTAATATTCTATTTATCATTGTTTCACACCCGAGCAATGTAAAAAAGCTATTATGATGCAAGTGAGGAACGGAGTTAGAATAAAAGATAAGAAAAAGAAAAACATTATTAAGGAAGGAGAACAAAGAAGAGGAATGAAGAATGGCGAAAATTCCCAAGTTGGCATCTACGCGGATGACGCCACAATTTATTCCTGCCTCAAAAACAAATCTAGTGTCAGTGAAAAAAAATAATCTGGCCGTGCGTCTCGAAAAGGACCTCCAATCGGTTGTGAACTGGGGCAGGAATTGGCTGGTCAACTTTAATGCTTCAAAAACAAAACTGCTCTCTATTAAACACCACAGAGATCATTCCCTGCCCTCCATTAGAATGTCTGACGCTCAACTGCTCGAGAGCAACTCTCTGCGGCTGCTCGTTCACACGTTGACTGCTGACCTGAGATGGAACAAATACATTGAGTCAATTGCTTCGTCCACCGAAAGGAAAGTTGGCGCCTTGTGCCGCGTCAGGAAATGTTCCTCCGCGGAATCGATCCTCCAGATCTACAAATCAACAATTCGCCCTTGCATGGAGTATTGCTGCTATATATGGTCTGGAGCACCTTCTGTTTATCTCGGGGTTCTTGATAGGCTCCAGAGGCGGATATGCAATATAATTGACCCTGATCTGGCATCTCGTCTACAGACACTTTCTCACAGACACGCCGTCGCCTCTCTCTGTCTGTTTTACAAATACTTTCATGGCAATTGCTCCGATGAGCTGCATTCGCTGGTTCCCAGACTTGATGAGTTAAAGCGCCCGACGAGGCTGGCATCCCGCTATCACCTCTTCACTGTCGAAACTACTAAATGTAGCCGTCTCTTCTACTCCAATAGCTTTATGTCTCGCACCTCTCACCTGTGGAACTCCCTTCCCTATTCTAGTTTCCCTGAGAGCTATAATCTCCAGCTATTCAAATGTAATGTCAATCGACATCTCCAGTTGCCTTGATCTATCCACTACCCTTCTCCTCATCCTTTCTTCTATCACTCCTATCTGATCTTGCTCTAAATTTTCTGTAACCCCTTGCGTCCTAGTGGCTTCCCGCCTTGCTTGTGGTGAAACGCTAAATAAAAAAGTAAGGATTTATAGTGGATTTAAATTTTTGAAGATCAAAGTTGACTTGAAATAAAGAAACCGGAAGATTTCCACAATAGAGAAGTGCCCGAAAATAAACTGTTGATATAGAACTTGTGGTTACATCGGACCAATTCATCTATCAAATGATGAGACCTTGTGTCCTATCGATCCTTCAAAAAGTTTCTTTAACTAAATTATGCTCGGATATTTTCTAGGAACTTTTTCTGTCATTCGCAAGAGATATCTGAGGGTGGTCTGGAAAAAAAAACTTGGCTCTTCTCCAATCTCTCCATTTCCTACATAAATTCAACTTAACCACATTTCCACTATTGATAAAGCTAGAGCGTCTTCCTTTAATGTTGCAAACTTCTTGGCATAAATAGCCTTGGGGGCTAAACTCTTTTTCAGAAGGTACTATATAGGTATATCGACACAATAGCAAATTTTTCCAAATTTGAAGAGAAGTCTCTGCGTGTTATATTTGAAGTCTTCTTTGAAAAGTCAGATGTCAGTTTCTCTGGAAAGGAACAACGCACTTAGTAATAATTACTGTTGAATTTAATCCTTGCAATATTTCACAGTTCTAGTATCGCTCCTAAATAGCCAGCATATGAACTTCTCAGGCCATCCTCTTATGCCAAAGAAATTACAATTAATTCGATAAAAGTATTGCAACCATTTGCGAACAGGGAAGTGATCGACAGATAATCACCTGGAAGAAGAATATGTTTTCAACATGGCCGCACAGTGAAACTTTGCTATCAATAATCCGTGCAAATGGTAAAACCAAGCTTTAACTTCAAAGGTGTTGCACGCTTGTCGCATCGTACAATCTCTTGATAAAGATGCAGTGTAAATGGTCCGCTATCTTTGCCGCTTCAGATTATACCTGAGTCCTTATATCATACTTCACCCTTACAAGGTTCAAATCAGAACAAAAATGGAGTATTATTACCATATCTAAGCTGATGATGCACAATCTTCACTTTCTAGCCTTGCAAGAGTTCTAAAAGGTTTACACGGCCTTTCTCAAATATGCAACTATCCTCTACCCCTATTTACGTGGAAAATGTTCAGATAACCTCAAATTATTTAGTGCCACCTGATCCAGATCATTGACTTCTTCAAGGATGCTTCATCCGAATCTACAATATTAACGTCTTTATTTCTAGAGCCAACCGTTATATATATATATATATATATATATATATATATATATATATATATATATATATATATATATATATATATTCTTACTGTAAAGCGCTCAATATCAGTGATAGAGCCAACGTATTCAGTTGTATGGATAAAAGTTTGTAATCTGGATTGCACGCTTTTGCGATCATCAAGGAACTGATAATCGCAAAAGCGTGCAATCCCGCGTTAAAACTATTATCCATACAACTGAATATATATATATATATATATATATATATATATATATATATATATATATATATATAATCCGTAAGCGGTAAAAAATAATCCAAATGAGTCTTTTTAATATAAACTATTCAAAAGAAAAAATATATATCCATGAAGAGAGCTCAATATATCGAAATACAGAGCATCATGATATATATATCAAAAGAAAAACTCAATACATCATTAAAGATTTCGCTAATAATTTATTTTGGACAGACCGTTCTGATAAGCCGCAACTGACCGTTGTTATCTAACTCCGATCTGATGAGCCAAATATACTGTTTAATATTATTTATAATATAATATACTTATAGTATAATACTATATATATAGTATATTTAATATTACCGAAGCGCCTACTCAAATACGATATTCCATCAATACTAATGTTTAAAGTGATAAAAAAAAATTATAAATGTAACACATTTTTTATAAAATCTTAAAAATGTGTTGTATAGTATTGGACACTTCAAAAGAAGAAACATTAATTTACTTCAATATGTTATAAGGGAATTGACTACATTATCAAAGAAAATCTTGAAAATTTGAAGAGAATTAAATTTATTTAATTTTCATAACAATTTTATAATTTCTTGTAAACTAAAACAAATTTTATATGATTGAGCACAAAGTACATGATGGAAAACCACCATAATTAGTAAAAGAAATTTACTTGATTTTGATGAGAGTACAGAAGGTAGTGATTAAAAGCGAGTAGAAACGACTAAACATTAATTGTAATTGAGCTGAATGCTTGTTTTGTAGCAAGAGGGATCAGCCTAACATGCAAATTATCAATTAATGATGCCAAAATCAAACAGGTTCAACAATCTGGATAACTCTGAGATTATATGATTAGAAGAGAGAAAGTGCGACAATTTAGGATA